AATTCGTGATTATAAGTGGCTCTAAGTAAATATAGAGAATAACAGGCATTTTTAAATTTATATATTCAAGAATATATATCATGAAAATGTATATAATAGATAATAGATATATCTATATCATGTTTCTCAAAGGGTTCCTTTAACTCTGGTAAGATAACCTAGAGGTTTCAAAGGCCATACTGAAACACCTCTGTATGGCATTAGGAGAAATATACTGTATTCAGAGTCCAGGAATTAAGTACTTTGCATGCTTCATTGTGAGCTTGGAAAAAATAGAGAAAAAATTCTAAAATGCTTGTGTCTGCTCGTAGGTAAAGTAAAGCAGATAAAGTGGCTATTTAAAATTTATAGGCGCTGGGGACACCTGGCTGGCTCAGTCAGAAGAGCATGTGACTCTTGATCTCAGGGTCTTGAGTTCGAGCCCCATGTTGGATGTAGAGATTACATAAAAATAAGTAAATAAATAAACTTAAAAAAAAAAAGACCTGGCTATAAACTTTACAGGCACCAATTAATAGGTTGACAGTACAAAACAGAATAATGCTCTTTTGTGATCATTCACATCTGTAAATATACGGCTAGCCTGTCTGTTGATACCCAGCTGGTATTGAGTCCTTAGTAATTATAATCAACAATAACCCTGAAGTACAAATGAGGTAGATATGATTACTGTACTGTTTGCAAAATTTGGCTACCAATATCTAACTCATTGTGGGGAAGAAGATAACTCTTTCTAGAAAGCACAAAATATACAATGTCCAGTAATAAATTAATGCTGAGTCATGATCATAACTGAAAGTGAAATCTTCATTTGATCCAAAATGTTTTTCATATATAAGATTTTATTTATTTATTCATCAGAGAGAGCACGCGTGCACAAGCATGGGGAGTGGCAGGCAGAGGGAGAAGCAGGCTCCCCCCTGAGCAGGAAGCCCGATGCGGGACTCGATCCCAGGACCCTGGAATCATGACCTGCGGTGAAGGCAGATGCTAAGACTGAGTCACCGAGGAGTCTCTATTTGATCCAAATTATTTAAATTGTTTAAAAGAGATATTCAGAGAGGTAAATTATTCTTGTCAAATTCTTGTTTTTCACTATTTTCAAAATAATTTCCACATTTAGGTGGTTGAAGGATAGAGCGAGAAAAAGTATTACTTAGTTACAGTATAGCACAGAATAATTCACAGCTTAAAAATGCATATGATGAACGCAGAAAACATCATTTTTATCATCATAAAGCCCATGAATATATAAATATCAGCCTCTTTGTTTAGAGATAAAATTTAAAAGCAAAACAATAAAATCAATTATATGCAATGATTCTTACTGCCTTGGATATCATTGCTGGTGTCTGTTTTGTATTGTAGGAGAAGGAATATCAGCTTATATTCTATGTCTTAGCTTGTTTTCAGAAAAGGTTAGGTCCAAAATACTGTCTTTTAAGTGAGAACTGGAGTTGAAATAGCCCATTTCCTACGTATTCTTTATCACCTGACCTTGCAAATTGTCCTCATTGACTCCAAATTAGGTTCTAAAAAGTTGAGTGCTTACCTTGTGATCAGGGTTTTGTTAGGTTCAGAGCAACTGTGAAATTTTACAAATTACCATTTTGACTGTAAAATTAGAAGGGGAAACAAGCTGCTCTAACATATTCTGAGGTGGAGAGTGGTTGCAAAAATCTCTCCTCTCCCCACTCTTGATTTGCATGTAAGATCTACTATGCCATCAGGTTCAGGACCTGGTTCAAGTATTATTAAGTATCATTAATTAATAATAAACCTAATATGAGGCAGACACTGTGCTGGCCGCCGGGGTATAAAATGGAGAGCAAAGAGGGTATGTCTCCTGTCTTCACTGTATTTATAGACTGCTGGGGGAGAGCCGGTAAGAAGCTATTACAACTAAGTGTGACAACTGCCTTAGACAACCGCGACTTATTTAACTTTCAGTAACTTCTAGAATTCCAGTCTTTCAAACTGTAGGTTGCAACCCATTAGTGAGTCTTAAAAGTGCATTTTTAGAGTTTTTTTAAAAAGTAATTTAAAAAATCAATGCACAAAAGCAGAGAGAATGATACAGCGAGCCCTGTACCCCCATACCCCAGATTTAAGAATGAATAAGATTTTCATTTTAAAAATGAAAATGGGAAGGGTGCCTGGATGGCTCAGCCGGTAAGGCATGTGACTCTTGATCTCAGGGTCATGAGTTCAAGCCCCACATTGGGCGTGGAGCCTACTTAAAAAAAATTAAAAAGGAAAAGAATAGGAAAATGGGATAGTTAAAAGAATAAAATAGACCAGACTAGACAAGGATGGGCTACAAAATACAAGAGTGCATTACACTATGAATATTGCACATAGTAGGAGAAAGCATTGTTCCATAAAACTTGTGTGTATTTACTGAATTTAAGATATTAAAAAATGTAAAGGACTCGGTCAAAAATGAAAGCCACAGTATCCATTTGTATTCCTATTGTGAATACAATGCTCTGTAAGAAGGGCTCTGCATGAATGTTTGGTGATGACAATATTTGCAACAGAAACGTGAGGAGCTAGCAAGAAGAAAATTACATATACATAAAGTTAACTTTTTAAAACAGGGAGCTGGCTTACACGGTAGTATTTTCATGCTTATACCGCTATTACTCAACTAATGTTGCCTAAGAACCTACTCTGTTTCAGGCAATATGCTAAGTGCGTGGGATGTAGAAATAATTAAAACACAGCCTTTCTTTCTCAGAGCTTGCTATTTTTTGGAGACACAGCTGGAGAGAATAGTCTATCTTCCATGTAAAAGAATCAACACTTGAAAATGCTCATCTCATTATAACTTAAACACACACACAAGCACATGCCTGTATAGCTGTATTTAATTTTTGTTTTATACTAATGAGATTATACCATATATATGAATCAACAGATTGTTTTTTCATTAAATAATGTATCAGAAATACCTTTAAAAATAAGTACACATAGGGACCCCTGGGTGGCTCAGTTGGTTAAGCGTCTGCCTTCAGCTCAGGTCATGTTCCCGGGGTCCTGGGATCGAGCCCCACATCGGGTTCCCTGCTCAGTGGGGAGCCTGCTTCTCCCTCTGCCTGCCACTCCCTCTGCTTGTGCTCTCTCTCTCTCTGACAAGTAAATAAAATCTTAAAAAAAAAACACATAGTGTTATCTCATTCTTTTTAATGGTTATATAAGTGTGAATATCATAATTTACTCGTTTCTCACTAAACAGGTTGTTATCCTAAATGTCTGACCTATGACAAACTTACATCTTTATACACCCTTGCTGGCTGTTCTATAGGATAGATTCTTCAAAATGGGATTTCTAGATGTTTGCTCTTGTCTTTTAATGCTGTCAAAATTTTTTGCCTTCCAAAAAGTTGCTCATTTACATAACTTACCCACCATTGAATAACTATTTCCCCATCCTATCATCAACACTATATATTATTAGTCCTGTATGTTATTAAACTTGTAATCTCATGCTCACGGATCTCTCTTTTTAAATTTCGCATTTCCTAAACTGCTAGAGAGATTGTCCACCTTTTTATAAATTTATTGGCTATTTTTTTTTGAAGTGAAGTGAAAGTTTATTAAGTGAAGGTAAGAACAGAAAGAAAAAAAGCTCTCTCAAGTGAGAGGGGTCCTGAATGGGTTGCTGTATTGGCTATTATTCTGTGAGTGTCTTTTGTATATCCTTGCCCGTTTTTCTATCAGGTGTTTCATTACCAATTTTTAAGAGCTCTTAGCTTTGGGGGATACTAACCTACTGTATATTGCAAATGGTTTTCTCTGTCATTTTTATTCTAATTTTGTTCATGGTGGTTTTGTAGAACTGAAGTTTCCATGTTTATGTAATCACGTCTGTCACTTCTTTCTATGTGGGTTCTCATTTTTATATTTTGCTTCAGATGCACCTCTCCACTCTAAAATTATACAAATAACCTTCCATGTTTTCATCTAGTGCTTTTATGGAGTAAAAAAGTGTTTCTTTCTTTAACCTAGCTGGAATGAATGAATTTTTGTATGTAGAAGGAGGTAAGCGCTACCTCCCCCATTCTAGCACTGACCAATGGGTAGACAGTTTTCTTGATGCAATTTGTTTAAAATTTAGAAGATAACTCTGAAAGGCAGGATCAGCCCCACATGAACCATACAGACTGAAAGTAATTATTACTATTGAATCAGAATATATGCTGTACAAAGAAAGCTCTGATGTTATCAGTGCTATCATCCTAGACACAGTTATAAGGAAGTCTACAAGTATATTATTAGGAACTCTCCAAAAAGTGGTATTTTTGATAAACAATTTTGTATTAATATGCTTTTTTGTACATGGTTCTCTTAATGTGATACCTGGGCGAAAATATACATATTTTATAAACAGGTGGAAATAGTAAAAAAAAAGGGGGGTGTAAGAGGTTGAATGGTAGAGAAGCTACCACTCTGGGCTGGCTAGCGCAACAACCATTGCCAATCCCCTTTCCCTTGCTTGCCCACATGACACCTGGGAAAGTTGACATGCTTGATTTCCCAGCCTCCTTCTCAACCACAGTGGCCATGTGACACAGTTCCAGCCAATGGATAGATAAGTGCAAGTCTTCTATCAGCTATGTCTGGCCTCACTCTTTCCCCCTTTTCCTTCTCTGAACACAAACGCCCCAGACAACCTGTGTCTAGGAGATAACTAGCCACCCTGCTAAGTGGAGTGGAAACAGAAAAAGCCTGAGTCTTTGATGACACTGGAAACCCCTACCCCCATCCTGACCTGCCTAGAGATTTTTTATTATGCAAAATAATTAAATGTCATAATTCCTAAGTCATGCTTAGACAGGTTTCCTGAGCTGAAAGTATGTGTAATTGGTACAAGTGATGTGAACCCTATTTTCTGGGAACAGTGAAACAAAACATTTTAATATTTCTTACTAATGCATTCATGAAATTAGCATAAATTAATTTCTAGGGATTACTTTTTTATAAAGACAAAGAAACAATTTAAAATGATAGAATTTATTTTAATATATTGATATATATGTATGCACATATACTATTTAAAAAATTAGCATGTAAACTATAATCGTTATAAAACATAAATTGGCTGTCATTTATTATTATCAGAATAAAAGAGCATGTATAGACCTCAGTCTAACATTGTCGATTTGCCTTTTAAAGTCAGAATACGTAAAAGATTTAGCGCATTGTTATTTTATCTTATTTCAGTTTTCACATTATCATCATTAGGTATAAATACCCTTAGGAATGTACCAACTTATAACTTACATTCAAATAACCAAAATCTCTTAACAGTTATTAAAGTACCATTAAGTCACCTAAAATGAATAATCTAAAAAAATACCAGCCTAAATTAAAACCCTGAGGAATTAAAATCTTTTTTACACAATAGTTTGGTTAAGTGCAATTCCATGTTTGACTACTTTATTTAAGGTCATACTTGGTAAGGCATAGTAAAAATAAAATCTACATAAGTTACAATTTAAATCTATATTTCATTTCTTGCTACAAAGTTGTTTTGTTTCCCCAAAAAAGTAGTTTTTGCATGTCATTCTGGACCTCTTCACCACCTGCTGGCTTATCTGCATTATATACAATAATTTGTGCACTAAGCTGAGCTGCCTTTATATGGTGGTTCAGACAAAATGCACCTAAAGAGCTACATGCTTGAGAGTTCATGTCCATGCTCAACCATGGCCTGCACAAACTGCTTGAAGACTCGATCCATGTAAGTGGACTGCCTTGGCCAGATTCCCTCCAGAAAACCAATGTGGCCTCCATAAGAAGTAAGGACCAAAGCAACATTAGGGTTTTGCCTGGCAGTTTCAATGGGAATAGCTTGGGGGGAAAAAAAAGATGAGGGAAGAGGGGAAGTAAGAGAAGGAAAGGAGAAAGAAAAATACACAATTATTACTGGTTTCTACTAGGAAAAGTACATGCTTTTATTATTTCTAATCATTATAAACTGAAACACTGTTACATAGATAAATATTTGTAATAAGTATGGCTAATGGAATAAGTCTAATTCATATCAACCATTTATATTCAGTTATGTACCGAACCACCATTTTTGGAAGAATCAATCCAAGTGTTTACTTATAACATAAAAGTCTTGTTTTGAGAAAATAAAGTAAGGTAATTCAAGGAATGGTGAATACTTATATTATGCTATAAGATCCCCACTTAGGTATTACACCAGGAAAACAACAACAACTAATCTTATCATCTTTGTGAGAATTATAAATTCATTATGTATGACTTTGGTTAATTTTATATGAAGTTAGATTCCTGAGGGGCCAGTTGTTGGCCATAGTAAGGACTCAAAATTATACAATAATTTATATAGTAACAACATATATAGATAGCAAAAAAGAGTGGAATGAAATACTCCCAAGTGGTAATAGTGTTTATATTTGGGTGGTTAAACACTAGTGATTATTTTTTCTTTTTCTTCCTTGTCTGACTTTTTTTTTTTTCGAGTTCGTGATCTGAAATTTTTTTTAAAAGACTTTTATTTATTTATTTGACAGAGAGAGCGCGCGAGAGAGTACAAGTAAGGGGAGTGGCAGAGGGAGAGGGAGAAGCAGACTCCCTGCTGAGCAGGGAGCCCAATGTGGGGCTCCATCCCAGGACCCTGAGATCATGACCTGAGCTGAAGGCAGATGCTTAACCCACTGAGCCACCCAGGTGCTCCTTCATTGTCTGACTTTCTATTTATAGCCAGGAGAAAGAAAAATTTTATTTTGAAAATACAGCTGCTATATTTAAATAACTCTGTAGTAATGACAATCTTTTCCTATACTCTACAAAACCTATCCTGAGTAAAAACTTCACTCTAAAGGACGTGAACTGAAGTTGTTTTATTTTTATTTTTTCTCCCACGCTTAGAGTTTACAATGAAAATGTTTTGATTTAAGAGCTATAATGAATCACAACCTGGCATGAGAAGTGTTTTAATTTCAGATACTGCTAAATCTTATCTCCTTAATTAAGGTAATGTGGTTGTTGCAGTATTTAGACTTTCATATCTTGGACGGAGTCTTAAGGGTAAATGAGCTAATTAAAGGTAACATCTCCCTACCACATACCCTTCTAATGAAGGAAAGGAAGCTGACACACTCTAGAACTGAGACCCTTATAAGATAGAGATGCTGCTGTGCCCAAATTGCCTGTTCAGATGATGCGCTCAGTTTGACCCCTTCACAATGCTCCCTGAAGAATAAACTTCAAGATCCTAAATTAAGGCCCAGCAAGCCAAGCCCTTGCTTGGGTCCTGAACTCACATCCTTAGCCAGCCCCACCTAAAGAAGAGTATCTCCTATCTTGGGATAAGGTGTGTGAGCTCAAGGGGAGGGGCAGGTGAAATGACATTTTATTTTTGCTTTTCCTTTTTCACCTTACATTAAAGGCTTTGATTTAGAATGCTTCATTTGCCTCTGACGGAATTATTATGAGTCCCAATTTCACACTCTGGATATACTCAGGAATTTCTAACACTGATAGTTACAGACCTATCAGAAGGACAAAAGCTGTGCCACGTTGAGTCACTTTAAAGGGGCTGGCTGCTTATGCTCTCAGAATGCAGACAATTGCCTACTATTTCAATGTGGCAAGACCGTCTTAAGGACTTGGGAAAGAATAGGGAACAATGAATTTAAATTTCAACCAAGTGGGGCAGGTTAACATGCTGAAAAATTTTGGTTGGTAAAAGAAGGGTCTGTGAAATATTAAAAAAGGAGAAGCACTACACTTTCCTAATCCAATGAAAGTAGGCTAAATAACCACCATGTAATTCAACTAATACTAAAGTTCACAGTTTCATTTCTTGCTTTGTGGTGAAAGGCCAAAAAGTTCCAGTCATCTAAAATTACTTGTGATTTTTTTTTTAAAGATTTTTTTTATTTATTTGAGAGAGAGAGAATGAGAGAAAGCACGAGAGGGAAGAGGGTCAGAGGGAGAAGCCGACTCCCTGCCGAGCAGGGAGCCCGATGTGGGACTCGATCCCGGGACTCCAGGATCATGACCTGAGCCGAAGGCAGTCGCTTAACCAACTGAGCCACCCAGGTGCCCCCAAATTACTTGTGATTAATCATAAATCACACAATAAGATGATAGGTGATTTTTATTTTTATATACTTTGGGGACTTTCTGAAATATTGACAATACCTATATGTTGTTTTTGTTTTTAGTTTACTTTTTTTTTTTTTTTTTTTTTAATGAAGTACTCCGGGGAAATGTTTTTAAACTATTTAGGGGGGGAAATGAGAAAAAAAATTTTAAAAAGCTTTTTGGAGGCGCCTGGGTGGCTCAGTTGGTTGAGGCTGAGTGTCTGCCTTCAGCTCAGGTCGTGATCTCAGGGTCCTGAGATCAAGCCCTGCATTGGGGGTCGGATTCCCTGCTCAGTGGGGAGCATGCTTCTCCCTCTCCCTCTGCTGCTTCCCCTGCTTGTGCTCTTTCTGGCACGAACTCTCTCTCAGATAAATAAATAAATAAAATCTTAAAAAAAAAAGCTTTGTGAAATTTCATTAGAAAAAGAATTAGAGGTCAAGTCTGGTGTTCTTATGATGACTTCTAATCGTCTTATATTGCTTCAATGTATGAACATATGCGTATATATTTTTGCTACCAAATTCCCTATTTCTTAAATTAAGAGAGCAAGGAAGTTAATTTGGGCATAATTTTCTTTTATACAGTATCCAGGGGAAAGCAAATACTGTTTCCCTTCAAATGTGACCGAATGTGCTACACTCATTGAGATATTCAAGGACATCATGTTTATAAAATCTCAAGTTCTCTTCCAGGTTAAAAGGGGAGAAAATTCCAAAGCCTTCTGCTTAAGAATCTGAGGAAGAAAAAGCAAGTGATGACAATGAACTTGTGAGGCAAAGATATTGTAACATAATCTGTCCAAAGAACAGTGTATTTGATTAAGAAGAAAAGGTTAAAAAAAATTAGAACAAGCAAAATATTCAGTCATAATGCACTCGAAGCCTCTCACAATGAACTAGATAAGGGTCTGTGAAAGCATTTAAAGTGACCTCACACATTTAGATACTAAATTATCTAGCTATTTTATTCTATTGCAGTGGAAAACATTTTATATGACATTTGATTTCTCATTACTGTATTTTCTTTAAAAAAAAAAACCCAGTATTTTAAAGATTTTATTTATTTATTTGACAGAGAGAGACACAGCGAGAGAGGGAACACAAGCAGGGGGAGTGGGAGAGGGAGAAGCAGGCTTCCCCGCGGAGCAGGGAGCAGGATGCGGGGCTGCATCCCAGGACCCGGAGATCATGACCTGAGCCGAAGGCAGACGCTTAATGACTGAGCCGCCCAGGTGCCCCCAAAACCCAGTATTTTAAAACAGCCAATTTGGGGCGCCTGGGTGGCTCAGTCAGTTAAGCGTCTGCCTTTGGCTCAGGTCATGATCCCAGGGTCCTGGGTTCCAGCCCCCGCATCGGGCTCCCTGCTCCGCGGGAAGCCTGCTTCTCCCTCTCCCACTCCCCCTGCTTATGTTCCCTCTCTCGCTGTGTCTCTCTCAAATAAATAAAATCTTTAAAAAAAATAAAAATAGGGCGCCTGGGTGGCTCAGATGGTTAAGCATCTGCCTTCGGCTCAGGTCGTGATCCCAGGGTCCTGGGATCGAGTCCCGCATCGGGCTCCCAGCTTCTTGGGAGCCTGTTTCTCCCTCTGCTTCTCTCTCTCTCTCTCTCCCTCCGTCTCTCATGAATAAATAAATAAAATCTTAAAAAAAAAAAAATAAAAAAATAAAAAATAAAAATAAAACAGTCAATTCATGTCAAAATGTATAGAAATATGTGAATTTTACCATGACTTGGTGAGAAAACATCATCCACAGAATTCAGACACAATACTGGAATTCCCACTGATTTCAGTCTACGATTGGGGCTGGCATCAGTATAATAATCATCAATAGTTTGGTATCCAAACATGACTGAAGTGAATCGCTTATCAAACTCTCTGATGGATTTAGCCTGAAACATAAAAAACAGATTATCTCTCTTCTTGGAATCTGAAGAGGAAATCAAAATATTACATAAAGTTTCTCTCCTACCTTCATGACATGGTCCATGTCGATTTGTTTCACAAACATATGCCGGTGCCTGCAGCAAAAATAATTTCAAAGGTAAAAAATTAAGGTTATTGCTATCTCCATCATACCTAAAGTACATAATAAATAACCAAACAGTCTAACACAGGGCACAAAGTGGATACTCAAAAAAAATTTACTTAATCAGACTCAGAAGTACACTGATATTTATCCTGAAGACATTTTTGAAAAGTACTTTTTTTAGAGAAGGAGTGGGGTGCAGGGGCAGAGGGAGAGAGAATCTTAAGCAGGTTCCACACCCAGCATGGAGCCTGACATGGGGCTCGATCTTACATCCCTGAGATCCTGACCTGAGCCAAAATCAAGAGTTGGACGTTCAACCAACTGAGCCACCCAGGCACCCCAAGAGTACTTTTTTCTTAATTAAAGGACACTGAACTAATTTTGTAATAATAAACATAAGTATTGTTTCATAACAACATGTACCTAAACACTGCTACTATTAAACCAATTTGGCTAAAAAGGCCTTATGTAAGCCAGAAGCTTTCAACTGGATAAACCACTTGAAGACATTATTTTTAAATTGCTATGTTGAAAATTAAAATTTACATTTTATATACTTATATTTTAAATGGTGGTCATTTTTCTTTCTTTCTTTTTAAATATTTCATTTCTTTATTTTTAAGTAAGCTCTACCTCCAACATGGGGCTTGAACTCACACCCCCGAGATCAGGAGTCACATGCTCTACTGACTGAGCCAGCCAGGTGCCCCTAAATGGTGGTCATATTTCTTATATAACCAGTACTTTTTTTTTTTTTAAGATTTTATTTATTTATTTGACAGAGAGAGAGAGATAGCCAGAGCAGGAACACAAGCAAGGGGAGTGGGAGACGCTTCCCGTTGAGCAGGGAGCCCCACACGGGGCTCGATCCCAGGACCCTGGGATCATGACCAGAGCGGAAGGCAGATGCTTAATGCCTGAGCCACCCAGACGCCCCTAACCAGTACTTTAATTCCCAAATCATTTTCTTTACTGTTCTTGCTCCTGTCCCCCATTTCAGTGACAATGAGTAATTAGCGATCTTTTTATTTTTTTAAAATTGTATTTATTTATTTATTTGAGACAGAGGGAGAGCACAGAGGGAGAGTGAGAGGGAGAGGCAGACTTCCCCCGCAGCAGAGAGCCTGATGTGGGACTCGATCCCAGGACCCCGAGATGATCTGAGCCAAAGGGAGATGCTTAACCAACTGAGCCACCCAGGCATCCCAATTAGTGATCTTTTTAATATTTTAAGCAATATTTTATAATCAACATCTGTAATTTAATAAATAGGCTAAGTTTAATCCAATGTTTAATGTCAACTTTCAGGGTATCTATGGTTTTCAATAAGTCCTGTACAAATTAACTGGAATTTTTATTTAGCATTTGTATTACATTGATCAATTCACCTAAAAACAGATGGTAATAGTCATCAAAATAGAAACAGAAACACCTCTGTTCTTTGGTATCACACCAACTTAAATGGTAGAAGACATACAAACAATTCCAGAAAAATTCTGGTAACGTTAAGAACTGTGGGGGCTGAGAATATCCAAGTGAAGTGCATTCTCCCAAGCTTCTAAAACATACTATGCTTGTAAGCATATGCTTAAGAAACTATATTATTCTGCACTAAAAATACTTAATACAGGGCGCCTGGGTGGCTCAGTTGGTTGAGTGACTGCCTTCGGCTCAGGTCATGATCCTGGAGTCCCGGGATCGAGTCCCACATCGGGCTCCCCGCTCAGCAGGGAGTCTGCTTCTCCCTCTGACCCTCTTCCCTCTCATGCTCTCTATCTCCCATTCTCTCTCTCTCAAATAAATAAATAAAATCTTTAAATAAATAAATAAATACATAAAAATACTTAATACATTGCTTACTACCTAGGAAAGAATTAGGTACTAATAGATTACCAACAGGTAGAAAATCCAGGGAAATAGCCCTCATGTTATTCAACACAGTCAATGCTAACATTTTTAATCTTTTGGAATAATTTAAAACAGTGACAGAACAGTGATCTTCAAAGTGGGGGCACATACCCTAGGGGTTGTATCCCTGAGATACAGAAAGAAAACATTACAACTTGTATCTATATTTTTAGCTTATACTTAAAATATTTTACTTTTGTATATACGTATAACAAAGAATATTTGGGTACAGTAGCAAATGCATATAATGTAAACATAAATATACAAATATTAGCAGTATTGTACAACTTTTTTTCTGCTGGGGAATGTAATCCAAAACGTTTGGAGACATCAGGTTTTAAAGATGACTCACTTATTAACGGAAGACTGGAGGCAAGTTGTCAAGTAGTAATTAAAAAGCAGCCAGTTGAGTGGTTTCTCCAATGACTCAGAGCAAGCAAAAGTATTCCAACCAACTGAAAAAGTTGCAGCTGCCTTCAAAGGAGTTTTTGGCCCAATTTTGCCCAGGTAATTCAAAAGCAGCATTCTAAAATGGGGAGAAACAGGAAACTTAGTGATGAATTTGTTATCTCAAGACATCTCATTTAAGATTTTATTTTTTTATTTGAGATAGAGAGGGCAGGAGCAGAGGGGCAGAGGGAGAGGGAGAAACAGAATCCCCACTGAGCAGGGAGCCTGAGCAGGGACTCGATCCCAGGACCCTGAAATCATGACCTAAGCCAAAGGCAGACGCTTAACCTACTGAGCCACCCAAGCGCCCCAAGACATCTCATTTCTAACTACGGATTTTACATTAACTATGGAGAAGAAAAACATAAACCCATGTTTAAGGCCTTTATCTTGGAAAAGCATACAAGTATTTTCCATTCTTTCTTTACATTCATATAATTATTTATCTTGCAGTAGACTATATTGTGAATGGGACAAGGCATACAGTTATTACATGTATATCCTTCTATGAAGAGAAATATAAGAGAAATCCCCTGTAAGAGTGGGGTTTTTCCCCTCCCTCCCTTCCTTCCTTGCCTTGCTTTTCTTTCCTTGCCTTTCCTTTTCTTTCTTTCATTTTTAAAAATGATATTGGGGGTGGGCACCTGGGTGGCTCAGCCATTAAGCATCTGCCTTCAGCTCAGGTCATGATCCCAGGGTCCTGGGATAGAGCCCCGCGTCGGGCTCCCTGCTGGGCGGGAAGCCTCCTCCCCCCCCCCCCCCCCCCCCCCCCCCCCCCGCTTGCGTTCGTGCTCTCGCTAACTCTCTCTGTCAAATAAATAAATAAAATCTTTTAAAAAAAATGATATTGGGGGTTTATTAAAAATATGCAAATCCTTGGGCCCCAGCTGCTAGGTGAATGTTTTAGTATTTGAGGAGTGTTTCAGGCAAACTTTCCTATAATAGGCCACAGAGTAAATATTTTGGGCTTTGCTGGCCATATAATATCTGTTGTAACTACCCAACTCTATGATTGTAGTGCAAAAGTAGCTATTGATAATACATAAATGAATGGGGATGGCTGTATTCCAACAGAACATTATATACGGATGAGATTTAAACTTCATGTAACATGATACAAGCTATTCTTCTTTTGATTTTTTCCAACCATTTAATTTTAATTTTTTTAAAGATTTATTTGAGAGAGAGCACGAGAAAGAGAGAGCACACAAGCCGGGGGACAGGCAGAGGCAGAGGGAGAAGCAGATTCCCCACTGTGCAGGGAGTCCTTCACAGGGCTCGATCCTAGGACCCTGGGACCATGACCTGAGCCTAAGGCAGATGTCTAAACTACTGAGCCACCTAGATGCCTCATTTATTTTTTTTACAAACTTTATTTACATAGGGAGAGAGAGAGAGAGAGTGCATGTGAGCCAGAGGGAGAGGGAGAGAGAATCTTAAGCAGGCTCCATTCCCAGTGCCGAGCTGACATGGGGCTCGATCTCACAACCCTGAGATCATGACCTGAGCTGAAATCAGGAGTTGGATGCTTAACTGACTGAGCCACCCAGGCCCCTATTTTTTAACCATTTAAAAATATAAGACCCATTCTTACCTCTTGGACAAAAACAGACAGATTGCCAGACTTGGCCTGCAGGCTGTGTTTTGGCATGAAGGAGTGGTTTTCAGGCAGGGTTGAACATTGGAATCACCTGGGGAGCTTTCAAAATTATTACAGACATCTGGGTTTAAGTTTGGAGATTGTGAGTCATCGGTCTAAGTGGGCATCCTGGTTGCCTCTGAGCCCTTGCTCCCTAAAGTAAGTCTCTAAAGGGCTCCCTAGCATAGAGTTAGACTTCCTGAGTTGTGGCAGAGCTCCTTGCCCTCGAAGCCACTTGTTTTCTCTTCCTACTCTTTCCTGTTTTTTGTCCTTCATTATCACACATTTTCCCCTTTCTTTGGTTCTATCAATTTTCCTGATTTTAATCTAGTTCTATTTTGGTAAGAGGGACAAGAATGGGGTTTAATCTAATACTAATATCAGAAATCTAAGTTTAACATTACCAACTAAGAGAAAGATGAGAGTTTAAATTCAGTTAGTCATTATATTTTCCATTCTTTATTTCTCCAATTGCCTAGGTTCTGAAATAGGCGAAATGGGTAGAAATTCTGTCTCCTTCTCTTTCCCAGCCCAAGTGGCTTGCAGAGTGAATGTGATGAGGTTTTAGATCAAAAATGGAAATTGTGTTTCTGCAAATGACTCTTAATAATGACTGTACTGGGATACAGGACTGTGGTTCACTAAGTCATTTAAAGAATGGTATTTGCTCTCCTGTAAAGCATTCATTCTAGAATCCTAGATTTGGTTGTCCTATTCTTTGGCTGGAAGTCAGAGAGTGCCAGGAAGTTGGTATAAGGGGCAAATTGGAAGGGTTGGAAGGGAAGCTCTCAGGAGTAGGAAAGGACCATAGTATCCACGCCAAGAGTGTGGGGGGGTACTTCTTGACTATTATTCAGGAGAAAAATAATATCAAGATGTTACTCCAAAAGAGGATGTTTCATTTCAACAGAGAAAGGACTCCGTTTTTTTTCACCAAAAGAGAGAGACAGAAAAAGAATCCATGAGTTAAGAGACTTAAGAGTTATATCAACCCCAATGTATGGACCTTATCTGGTTCCTGACTCAAACACATTGTAAAACCAACCAACCAACCAACCATCAACTGGGGAAATGTGACGCTGACAAAATATCTGATGAATTTTAGGAATTATTGTTAGTTTTGTTCAGGTGTGATAATGGTACTGTGTGTATATGTGTGTGTGTTTTAAAGAGCGACTACCTTTAGAGATACCTACTAAAATATTTATAAATGATATCTGAGATTTATTTAAGATAATCAGAGTTGGGGAGGAATGGAGGGTGATACTGATAAACAAGATTATCCATGAGTTGATAATTACTGAAGCTGTGTGAAGAGGGTTGATTATTATTGAAGCCAGGTGGTTAGTGGTTAGTATATGTGGGGGATCATTATACTCTTCTCTTTTATATATACTTAGAATTTTCTATACATTCTTTAAAGCTTGTTTACCAACTCATTGGGAGACTGAAACCTGACTGGGTCTAGCATGGTGTGGATTCCTTGGCTAGACTCAGTTCTGGCTTAAATCCCCTACTTGGTCCAAGCATCACAGGCTTGGGGATTACCCCAGTCTACAGGGGACCTGGACATTAGGATCTTCGACAGATTATGCTTTTGTCTGTTGCATTTCCAAAAGAAAAAAAAATGTGTCAAGCTATAAAACACATCCCCAAGTTTAGGTAAGCCCACTTGGGAACAAGTCACAGTGCTAGGCAACTAGAAAGGGTGCTTCCTTCAAACAATTTACAAGACATTATTATTCAACCAGCTGCAAAGGCTAATGGTCAAGTTCTGCCTTCAGGCACTGAGGCTTCAAAGCGACATGAATAGGCATTTCCCAGGAGCTTCTGAATAGAGAATCTGGGCCTGTTTATGTAAGGTCTGGCCTTTAGAAAGTCAAGACTTTTTATGATTAGGGGAAAAAAGTTCAGCGGGCACCCTGTCCTCTACAGTTCACATTATAGGGCAAAGGAAAGAGAAATACATTGAGTACAATTCAGAGATTCTGCCTGGGTTTTCTGCACTGATTCGGATTTCTTCCTTTAGTAGGTCAAGTCAGACCTTCCATGCTAATGTAAGAAATGTATTCTTCTCTTTTTAGTTTTATGTTTATCAGAATCTAAAAAGCTGTGGTTAAAGACTACTTTTCAGAATCTATCATTTGTAAAGCCTGTTCATTTTCAAGTAAATATTCTCCTAAGATGTTCTGAAAATTGAAACGGCAGATAATTACAAAGTTAAGAAAAAATACCATTTTCTACCTCATGTGTTTGCTGATTTTATTTTTTTATTTTTATTTTTTAAAGATTTTATTTATTTATTTTGACATAGAGAGCGAGAGACAGCGAGAGAGGGAACACAAGCAAGGGGAATGAGAGAAGGAGAAGCAGGCTTTTCACGGAGCAGGGAGCCCGATGTGGGGCTTGATCCCAGGACCCTGGAATCATGACCTGAGCCGAAGGCAGATGCTTAAAGACTGAGCCACCCAGCACCCTGTTTGCTGATTTTAAAAAGTCAGCTTTGGAACAAGCATTTAGGGAATCTAAGCATATGAAATTCCAGATAATTAAAATTTTATATTTTATTAAGTTCATAATCACTGGAACATAAAAAATATACACGATTATTAGTAGAAATGAATAAATATGGCGTAGATGTTCCAACTAAGCCCCAGTGTAACTGCAAGAAGCACAAATTATAATAATATTCATATGCTTAAAAGAGCAGCTGGAGTAAGGGTTAACAATAAAAGGGCAGAGTTTCTAGGAGGGCATTCCAGGGTAGGCCCAACTGCCCAGCAACAAAACAAAACAAACAAAAACACCACCACCTGGAGAAAAAAAATTTTTGAAAGCCTCTTCAGCCGGAGAGAGCAAGAAGTGATTATTTCTATGCCTGGAGTGATGAAAGTCAGCCTCCGAGGTCAGCTTCCAGCGTGGTGCCGGAGGACACACTTACAGGGACAGCTGGAAGTCCATCAGGGAAGCTGAAGGTCAACATGGCAGCTCCCAAGTGATGGAAATCAACTTCAACAAGCCTTCAGCTCCCACAACCCTGAGGATCCCAAGGAGATACTTGTATCCTTTTCACCACAGAGCCATAGTTGCCAAGGCAAATAGTAACATTTGCCTGGATGAATTTCTTCCTTCATTCAACCACATGTGGTAAAATCAGATAAAAATAATCCAACATTCATTTTTAAAATGTCTTTGTAGTTTATAGTCTCCTGAAAGAAGCCGTCAGTAAGGCCACTTCTCTCTCAGACATCTTAGAAAGGAAAAAAACCTTACCCTCCCATGGAAACCCCTGCTGCCAGGAAAGGAGCAGAAGGGTACAGACGGTGCACGTGGTGAATAACTGTCTCCAGGTCTTCCGTGTTAGCACAACAGTAAGTCCTTGGTGTCTGTAAGCAGAGACAGGTAAAGTGCAAAATTTTAAATTATGAGGTTCATGATTTGCATAATGCAGAAATGTAAAAAGAGCAAGAAGACAAATATGAGAAAATAAACCTTTGTATATACAATGAGTAAAATAAGCTATCATATTCATATCTTGCAGTATATGCCATTTCAAGTCAACACTCTCTGAGTTGGCACTAACCAAAAGACTTTGGTCATGCAAGGAAGGCTTGACAACACAGGGCAAGACCAACACAAATACCTTAAACGAAATAGAATACACAGTACCATATTCAAATGTGTCTCCAACCCAACAAGGACAGAGTCAATTTAGGAAGAAAAAGTGAAGAATTACACTTTTTTATTGTGTTTTTTTAATGTTTGTTTGTTTATTTATTTATTTATTTATTTATTTATTTATTTATGAGAGAGAGAGAGAGAGAGAGAGAGAGGCAGAGGCAGAGGGAGAAGCAGGCTCCCTGCCTAGCAGGGAGCCCGATGTGGGACTCGATCCCAGGACCCTGGGATCATGACCTGAGCCGAAGGCAGATGCTTAACCATCTGAGCTACCCAGGCGCCCCTACACTTTTTTTTTAAATAGTTTTTTTTTAAAACAAAAAAAAAATTATGCCTGACGAAGCCGAAGTAATTATTTAAAAAAAATAAGCAAGCAAGCAAACAAAAGAGACTTTACAATACACAAAATTTTTAAGTTGTGGCTGGTTTCTAACTGGGGAACTGTTTTCCTTATCCTGAGTGCTGTCCACCAAGGAGGGAGTGTGGTTTTTTGGCACTGCTTTCCCTCTAGATAAGGCAATTTCCAGTTGCATTTACTAATTACATATGTTCTTTTACAATAATATATCCATACAGCCCCAGCTGCACTACACTGCAACACTTAATATTTTAAAATATGTAAAGCTGATTATGCCTCAATACATAATGCATTAAAACAAATGGTTTTCATGTGAACTTCATCAATAAGAGCTCTGTTTCTAGCAGGAAAGCTTCACAAATGCTTTGTTTGAGCTGCGGGAGGAGAGGGCAATCCTCTCTGTAGAATAAATGTGAGAGTGTATACATGAATATGTGTGAGTGTGCATTTGTGAGATAAAATAACCAGAAACTGAATAACATGGAGAGGAATCTGGTTAACACTGCTCTAATAAAAAGAGTGACCTGGACCATCTTGACCTCACTATTCCAATAAACCATGATCTCAATAGTAAGGCCATGTTCACCCACCATTCAGTCGCTAATGCGAAGCCTGAGACAACCACAGTTTTTAACGATCCTTCCAATTAAACTCAAGCCTAAAACACTACCCACTGCCAATATCATCTTTTTGAAGTCTGCAAATATGAAACTCTCCAAAAGACAAATGTTAACCTGATAAGATTTACAGTGGCTAAGTTATTAAATAATTAAGTTTGTGTCTACAAAACCCTGAGGAAGATCCCATTATTATATCTATTTTATATAGGAAACTGAATTTAGAGAAGTTAAAAGACTCCTGGCACACCTTACCAGCTAATATGAGACTAATCTGAGATACTTTTAAAAAAATCCTTTGTGATGGGGTGCCTGGGTGGCTCAGTCGGTTAAGCGGCTGCCTTCAGCTCAGGTCATTATCCCAGGGCCCTGGAATCGAGCCCCGCATTGGGCTCCCTGCTCAGCGGAGAGCCTGCTTCTCCCTCTCCCTCTGTCTGCCGCTCTGCCTACTTGTGCTCTCTCTCTATCTCTGTTAAATAAATCAATAAAAATCTTTAAAAAAATAAAAATAAATAAAAATAAAATAAGACTCCCCAAAACCCCCTCTTTAAAAAAAAATCCTTTGTGCTTAAATGCATTTGAAGGGCACAAATTCAATGTAAAATCTAAATGGAATAATATCTAGTACCATGCTCATTCATAGTGACTGCACAATTTGTCACAAGAATTCAGGTGAAGAAATCCTTACATGGTATTTTTATTACATGTGAGTCTATTCACACTGCATGGCTTTAACATTTCTGAATTATTTGTGACAGTCACCACATGTACTCTCGTCACGCAGGCTTGAAGTGAATGCATGCACACACATGGGTACACACAAATATACACACAGAAGTCAGGGTATGAGAAAAATGGCCTGTGGAAAATGATTAAGATCAGGGAATCTTAGTGCCAGGAAGGACCTGGTTCCTTATTTACACATGATGAAACTGAAGTCAGCAAGGTAGAGTAATTTGCCAAAGTCACAAAGTAGCAGAGGCTGGATCACCCGTTTGTAGTAAGTAAATGACTTCTTGTAAAGTACTGGGATACCATGAGGGATTTAGTTAATAAGTCAGCATCTGGTACCCTCAGATACAGGAACTGATTTTTTCTGTAAATGTTTTTCTCCGGATGGGTTACATTAATATCAAATCTGACAATACTGGCATGGATCAAAGTTACCAGAACTCTGAAATTCAGCCAATCTAGAGCCTTTCCGGCATGATCCTGCCTCCTGCTAGCTACCCCCTTAGCTTCTGTGATGCCGCTACCCCTTTCTCCTCCTGTTGCTGGCTTTCCACTTCCTGCCTGCTTCCTGTCATTCTCCCCACAACCCCAGTGTGAATACTCATTCCCAAAAGTCTTGTCTTAGGCCTGCCTCTGCTTCTCTGGTCAATACTTGATTCCTGAGGGTCTTACCTACCTTCCTGGCTTCATCAAACCACCGCTAGGCAACCACCAAACCAACTCTCCACCCTCTCACCTGATCTAGAGCTCTAGATCCAAACTTCCAAGTTCTAGCAGGCAGCTTCACTACTGTGTTCTGTCACTACTTCAAACTTAAAATGCCCCAAAGTAAACTCTTCTCTTTATGAACACTATAATGCTCCTCCTAACTTCCCATTTTTTAAGAAAATGACACCTATATTTTCCTAGTTAAAACTGTGGGTGACATTGCCTTCTCCCTTTCCCTTAATCTCATAGCCAATGAAGTGCCAAGTCCTGTAGCTTCTTCCTCAGTGTCTTTTGTGGGAAACACCGGAAATCCCTTCTTTCCACTCTAGTAAAGGCCTGGTATGTTAGATTCTCCTGGAAGAGCCCCTGAAACAGACAGGATGCAAGTGCAAGCGGTTCATTTGGAAGGTGAGACCAGGAAGCACCAGTTGGGGAATGGTAAACTGAGTCAGGGAGGGTAGGAAGTCAATAAAGACTATGGGACCAAGGCAGTTTGTGGCTATGGGTGACAGGGGACCCAATCCTCTTGAGGCACTTTGGGACACCATGTGAGTATGGCTCAAAATTATCCCAAATGAGTGGCGAGACAGCTGGGTTCCACCAGTCCCCTTCAGCCATTGGTTGAAGGCTGCTCCTGCAGGATGTTTACTCACTGGCACTCCTGGTTGGCCCTGAGCACAGGTCCAGCAGGCTCCCGTGGCTAGAGAGGCCCCTGTCAAAGAGATGTGAGCGTTTGCAGGTGAAAGCCATTAGGTAGGCGTGCATTGGAATGGTAAGTACCCCAAGGGTAAAGATGTGACAAGTCTATGGCACCAACTGTCTCTGCTACCAGGCCTTTTCATCTCTCACTTAGACAGCTGTAGTAATGACTTAACTAGTTAACTCCCAGCCTTTGCTCATAACCACCCCTACTCGTATCTCCCGCTCACTGGCTGATTAATCTTCCTAAAGAACATTTCTAGCTCTAATCATGACAGTATTTTTGCTTAAAACTCTTCATTAGCTTCCCACTGCTGACTGAATTAAGGACACATTCTTCTGCCAAGTGTTCAAGGCCCTCCACAGTATGTCAAGCAACCTTTCCAGCTCTGGATTTTATCATTTCTTCATAGGTACAGAGTCATGTCAATGAGACACCACTATTGTCTTGTGTGCTGGCCTCATAATATCCTTGCTACCTGTGTGGACACTTCATCTGCCAAGTGTCCTTCACCATCAACTCTGCCTGTTGAAATCATGCCTTGCATAAATATCAGGTAAACAGCCAAGACCAGGCTCCTGGTCTTCATGACACCACAACCTCTCCCAATTCTACCCCGAACTGTCCCAGCAAGTCTGCTCCTGGCCCACATTATCTAGTACCTGTCTATCTACTACGATCCTACCTCTATCTCTGACAGTCAGTAAATACTTGTTGAATTGAACTGAAATACCCAGGACTGAAAAATAAGAAGTCCTGATTAATAACTTCTGATATACAAAACTATGTGGTTATATCACATGACCTCTTGCTACTTAATGGTTCCAACAGGAAATATCATATGCCTTCTTTCTTCACAGGACTTGAGATCACTAAAGAAGGGCTTCATCCAGGATACACAGCAAAGACACTAATGGGGGCCATACACTGAATTCGTAGGCCTGGCAGAAATTTTCTCTAGGTCTAAAAATATAACTAGCAGCTTTTTAGACAAAACATTAGTTAATTCTCAGTTGCTAGGGCTACTAATGCAACCAGCAACTAATCCTATTGCAGTAATTCCTGTCTTTTTCCATGCTTCCGGAACAGAAGTAGAGTAAGCCATATCTAATGAGAAAAGGGATTAAGGGAGACCTTGCAGCATTCAGCTCCATGGTAAAAACTCTTTTACAGTGAGACGAGGATGGGAAAGGTATTCTGGAAAAATGAAGAAAATCTAAAGGACAGATAATCTTCCAGCAGGTGTTTGGGCATAAATATTTTATAAGTTAGAATAATTTGAAAATAATTACAAACCAAGATTGTTCAAATTGTTCAACTGCAGCTATGATCTGAGAGAAACAATAGTAATTTGTTTAATGGCTTTTAGAGGTTCGTTCAAAAAAATCACTGAAGAGAATAATGAAGTAAAATTAATTCTTAATTATTCACACATAACAGATGGGAAAAGAGTAAAGCATATATTTTATATTCATCTGTGGACTACATATAATCTATCCTTCCTAATCCACTTCCAAAAAGTAGACAAACTGAGTTCTCCCTAACCTGAAAGAGAATTTTCCTGTCCTGGTTTAGAAGTCATTTGTTTTAAAA